TCTTCCTTCAGGCACAGTGAACATCGAATTTTGAGCCATGCTGTTTATGGCAGGAAAATCCTCAAAAACAACAAATAAAAAATGAAATCGCTGTAAAAATGTAGTGATTTTCTCTACTTTAAAAAAATCCCGGCAAACAGCAACTGGCACAGCAATGTTTTCGGCTATTTTACGTAACCACACAGAAGCAGAGCTGCATTCAATGTCTGTGAGAGGCTGTGTCGTTTAAAGACTCCCTTCACAAAAAAAATTCCCCGAGTTCTTTGCTTCTACAGAAAAACTGCTTAAATTTGTAAAAATATCAAAAAAAAAAAAAAAGAAATTAGTACAGACTCTCTGTAAGACACAGAACCAAAAACAAGGATTTATTAGGCTCCTCAGCAGGGTCGTAGTCGGTAGTATATTTTATAGGTCACTCACATGTGACGGAGAAAAGTAAGCAGAAAATACACTAGTCTGCTTGTAATTTAATATATCCCAAGCCGATCGTTCAGTAATATCTTCGTAATCGCTGCGGGCTTGCATGAGTTGTTGTCCCCTCAGCCAACGGATCACACATCTAATCATAAAATTTTCGCCATCATGTGGGAGACAAACTGGTGATACATTTCGCACCTAATTTATACCAGGAATATGTAATGGTCGATGCCGCCCAGCTTTAAACCAGGACATTCGATTATATCGCTACACCCTTATAAACCGATCATTTTATAAACCGATCACGCAATACAAACAACTCCGTGTGATTTCGCCTGAGGATTACATTGCTCGTATTTGAACAAATTAACGAAGTTTGAAAAAGGCCTCCTTTATCACAAGAAAACCGCCTGCGGCTAATCCACTGAAATCGCCTACCTTTTTATTGAAAGACTAAAGCACAAAATGTCAAACTGTTAAAGTAATTGGCTTAGCATCGTACAGCACGCACTAACTGGCCGATCTCTCAAGAACGGATACACTCAGCTACCAACACGACCAAAATCTTTAACACAGTAAAAAGTTGCTTATGTCAAAATCGGCGAGGCTCGGATCATCTACTGAAACATACCGCCTTGCGGTCATCAGTGGAAGAAGCGTTTTCCATCACGGTACAAACTGATCAAATTGTTCTTTAACCCGAACTGTCGACGCAAATCAAGCAATTTAACACGCTGATAGTCCTCGTTTCTGAAAATCGCCTAATTCTGCACGACAGGAAAATAAGCATCCACTCAAAAAATTCACCAATTTACAAAAAAATCAGGAAAAAACGAGTGAAAAGCAACTTCTCCAGATCCGGAGCAGAAAGAACCGCTTCTTTGAACTGCGCGAAAGTCAATTCAACTTGTCGCACCTTTGGAGAGATATCGAGCACTTCTTCGTCCTCAAAACTGAAAACCACAGCCGATATTTCGAGACGACAATTTGCAATGTCAGCTGCTCACTTCTGCTCAGCCAATAAATGGTCCAGCGGGCGCCTTATTTGTGTGCTGATGAGAACCAGTGGGAGAAATAGCTGCTCCGGCTGATGCAGACGTTTCCGGCTCTTATCCCTGCTTCAGAGTGCATACCGGAGCGCCCTCAGAATTTGCTGCGAGCCCAGTTTAACACGCACAACGATGCATGGCCGCCCGACCGGCCGGCAGGAGACTGTGTGACATCTCCCCTCGCCGCTGGTTCTGCCCATACGCGCTGCCCCGTCCGTGTTTGCATGCAAAGCAGCGAAGCACTCAGGCTGCTTGCCTACGAGCGTAACATATATTTCTCCCATTTCCTGGATGCTGAAAGCTCGATGTTCCCGGGGTGCAGCAGCTAAAGGCCGCCCCCCCCCCA